TGCAAGTAACACGCTGCGGGCTCTTCCTCTGACCCTCTGATATATACTACTCCACTGCTACTTCGCTCGCATTTGCGGGTCGGATTCCGGAAACGGCGAAAACGCCGTTTCCAAAACCTCTCGAAAGTTGGTTCCAAAACTGCCAACTGACACCTCGCGCGTCATCATTTCAAGACATCGTCTATAAAACAAAACCAAATAGAGACTTCAACAAATAACTCGTCTTGAAATTCCCAAATTAGGAAATGTATTTCCCCTCCCGTCCTCCCGTTCCTGATCTAAAAACATTTTCATAAGAATTCCACAAGATTTCACTTTTATATCACCAACTTTCTGAACTCTTTCTCAGATACAAAAAAAATTTGTTATATACTTTATAAGAATTCGCAATAAAATCAAAATAATTTTTAAATAACATAGCTAACAGACATCCAAGAACCTAAAAATGTCTCTCAGAAATATTAGATCTCTAAATTAATTATTACACGGATCTAAATGAAATTGTTGTATTGTCAAAATACTTTATTTTATTTGATTTTATCTCGGAGGCCAATTTTATTTATATCTTTCAGGCATCGTCATAGATGTCAAAATGAAGTTTCAGAACTTCATTTATTATTTCATTGAAATATAAAAAAAATCTCATGATGTAGTGTTTTTTTATTCTTTTCTATATAATTGTTGCGAGAAATAGAACTTAGCCGTTTATCGACAATGCCACGTACTACTCGCGAATGAGTAATTCTTTTTGAACTCATTACAGAATAGCAAAAAGGACTTCTTTCAAACTAATTTCGATTTAACTCCACAGATTTAACTCCAAAGTCAAAATGTACTTCTATAGAATCCTTTTTGAATTACCGGAAAGGAATTTTTTTGAGTTCATAACGATCTTCTGTGCTGTTTAGGTAGGCACTGATAAAATTCACGATCCTTTGGCACGCGTGAAAAAAAAAAACAAAATCGTTTTTGACAAACGAATATCGCTACTTTTTACACCGTAACCGAAAGATCAATCTGCTTTTCCCGGCCAGCTTTGGAGAACTTAAGAAGTACTATGAAAGGAGATTTGCCGCTACCTCATTGATAAATAAGGCTGGGCAAACTTTACGGTCTCTCGACAAAATAAAGCGAACGACACTCACGCTATTGTGTGAATACGATCTGCTCTGGCTTTCTTCAATTCTTTATAGCTTCTTCTCCTATTTTATATAAGGAGTTTGTATGTATCGATGTGACAGTAATATATTCTATTAAAATTTTCATAATTTTTCTCACAATAACAAATTCGCTCTTTTCTTTTTAACTTAACTTTAATTTAATTTAAGATCTATACTAATCTAATGTTATATTATTCCAAAAGACGTATAGTAAAATGCTTCGAATGATAAAAAATTATGCATGCAGACAAATACTTCTCTTTTTTTAAAGGCTTCATATCTCTTATGCCACTATGTGTTATTCATGCTGCTATAGAGAAGCCATTTTAAATAATAAAAATGAAGTTCGAATGGAAGTAAATGAGATAGGAAATATTCAAAGAGAGATAAATAAATCAGAGACAAACAGAGAGGAGATGGAAACATTATTTTTTTAGGCGTCTAAGAAAATATACTCTAAAATGCATTCATATACAAAAATAAAGAAAACAAAATTAAGTGCATGTAAACTAACGTATATTTAAAAACTTGTTGCAAAATAAATATAAAAATAAAAGAAACATAAAAATAAAAATAAAAATAACATCATATAAGATAATAATAAAAAAAGAAAAACAGAAAAAAAGCAGACGCGGATACATAAAAAAATAAAATGAAATAAAACATAGAGAAGCTTCTTTTTTTGGTTTTTCTTTCAACTTATTAATTACTAAGTAAAATTGATCAGAAAACAATTTTTTGGAGAAAGTGCAAGGCAGTTTGTAGAGAAAAGATTAGACAAACACCACTAACGAAGAAAAGGGATCTTTTGAAAAGTAGGAGATGTACAGAGAAAAGATAGAGAAGTATACGTAGATAAAGGTGAAGGTCGAGATTTTAACGTGAAAAATCGTGCACTGCCTGCTAGAGTGACTAGATAGTAGCCTATCGATCTTAGGATGATCTGCAGCGGTTCCTCCAGAGAGGAGGAAGTTGTTCCCGAACGTGCCTTCACGCTCCACGACATCTGTCGATAAGTTATTCAATTCCGGCGCTATTGGATTTCCCTTTTCCCAGGAGGTGAATCCAGCATCTAACTGCATCCTCGGCAGAGTTCCGGTGACCTGTTCGAGGACAAAATTCATTTTTCGTTCGTCCCCCCGCGGTGCACGCGCATCTAAACGATGCTCGAAACGAACGGTCGGACAATTTTTGTTCATAATTTTCATCGCCGCTGAAGAAAGCGGACGGGGGTAGCAGAGGCATTATTCACAGATTACGTAGAAAGGGTGCAATTATATACAATGATGACGTATCGGCGGAAAGAAAAGCGCTCGTGCGTCCGAGGCCCCGAGTAATGAAACTGCGAGCCTGTACGCCCGTGATAAGAAGCTCGCATCTGCGATTTGCAACGTTGCGGCCTCGCCCATTCGTTATTGATGCCGCGTACGTAAGGGGGGAGGGGGGGGGCATTCTCTCTCGCTACATTACGCCACGTTCGTTGCGCCTGCGAGAAGAACCGCGTTCGCCTCTCCTTGCGGCGGTGGACGGCGGCGGATTAAAATTCATAGATATATCCTTGAGAATGGATGCGAGGACTTGAGAGTATCCGTAACGGTATCATCTCGCGCATCAATCACCACTGTTTTCCGAGCAATGGCTATTTCGTGTTTACATCTCAAAGAAGAGAAAAGAAGAAGAAGAAAGGTGGAGGTAGAGGAGGAGGAGGAGGAGGAGGAAAAAGAAGTCTCTTTCTCTAATAAAGTTTTATGTATGTTAAATTTTATAAAGTAATATCTTCCGCGATAAATAAATCTCTTGTACAATTTGGGAATTTGAATGAGACGCGAATTATATAATAATATTGAGTTGATTATTAATCTCGATTTGATAATGTAAAGTTGCGTTTTTCTTTATAACGTATGATTATTTGTAAAACCAGTTAACAATCAACAGATGATTAGGAGTTTAAGCAAACATAGTGTTCCATTTTTAATTGAATACAACGGTAACGCGAAAACCGTGCATTAAAGTAAAGCAATTAGTATAAGTTATTAGTATAAAATATAGTTTATTTAAAAAATAATATGCAATTTACAATTGCATATTTTTTTTTAAATATCTATGTATCTTTTTATTGATAGATTATCTTATTATTTTGCAAAGCTAAAATTAAAAACAAAGTGCAAAATTAATTAAAGCAAATATTTTATGAGACATTTTATGTTTTATTAAAATATGCTATAATGAAATATAAAATAGCTTCAAAAGTAATAATTTTAGAGTATAACTTTGATACTTTTTTTATTGAGAAAGAAACTGCATTAATTAATGCACTTAAAAGTGGAATTTTATGGAAATTTATGGAATTTATTAAAAATATTTATTAAAAATATTATTATAAAATACCTTGAAAAGATTGTGCATCCAAAATCAAAGTATAATGACACTATTATATATCTCTCTCGAAATTCTTAAGATAAAATTTATGTCTGAAATACTTTTTTCATAAAGAATAATTTCTGAATTATTAGCATGTTTAATTTAAAATAGGATTCCCTATATATAAAACTTATTTGAATGTTAATTAATATTAAGCTGTATAATATTAAGATATATAATTAGAAGTATCTCTTATAATAATTCTAAAAAAAATCAACTTTTACTATAATCTTTTTTTCATTTTTCTTAATCATTTTTTACTAAAAATTACACGTTGTTACACTACACACACACACACACACACACACACACACACACACACACACACACACACACACACACACACACACACACATGTATATATAAAGAATGTAGAATTGCGAACTGTATTGCATAATGGCGGCACAGGCGCTTCATGCACAATGCAAGATGACCGATTATACATCAGGCAATCCGAAATGCAGCTGTTATGCACGTTTTTCCGTACGTAATCCCGCGATCGAGTATTCGCGAGGGACATAAAGAAGAAATTAAAAGTTGCGTCTGGTTGACCGATAAACGAACATTTCGATTGCAACCGCGCAATCCTGCGACTTTATCCCTATCCTTAGGCCTCCCTGATTTTGTCATTACGCAAAAGATTGCAACTCGCGATCTCTCTTCTTTTTCAACGCGCATTTGCATCTCGCGCGTTTGTGGAAGCCGAAACTACGTTTCATCATGTCACGCGTGAATGGCGTATTAATAAAACACACTAAGCATCCGGTATTTCGATTTTTTTCCCTTTCGCTTCCTCCTTCTTTTTCTCTTCGCGTTAAATTGATAGAGTCTCTCAAGGTCGTCATCTGTGCGGTGCTGCGAAATCGAATAATCGACTCCTAGAACGGAAGGAGTCAGTATCGCTGACACACGATTGTGAAAAAACGTGAAACGTGATTGCCGATACATCGCCAACGCACGTTCAGTAAAAACAGGTATATTATGCTCTCGGCGTGAATGAAGTCTGGATCTCTTTCTATAAACTGAGCTTAAAACACATATATATACAATCTAGTAAAGAAGACAATGTGCTTGATGTAAAGTAAATACTTTCCTTCTCCTTGATATAAAAAATAAATATTTTTTTTTTCGTTTTTTCTAGATATTTGAATTTTGAAATTTTCTTTTCTTTTTTTCACACT